CCAAGGAGATAACCAGTCACCCTCTCAACTCTGCTCTACTCTCAGGGCCCAATCAACTAACGGGGTTTTCCAGTTGACATCCACCATCCACCCTGGATGCAAGATCGCAGTGACATACGATCCCCAAGCAATCCGGTGGGCATATCATATCGACAGGATGCACAAGCGCACCTTATCTCACACAGGTCGCCCGGCAATTGACATCAATTATTTGTAATCGTCAGTGTCAACTAAAAGATCAATCCTCCGATGACGGGCCCTATCTTTCCATCTTGAACCCTACACCTGAATTTATCCCTGGACCATCACTTCTACACCATCTTGTCCGATCTGAAGGAGACGGAAATGACTTGGCGATAGACTTCCTCAATGGAAATAAGACCAGGAGCACTCTTTCATATGAATTGCTTCATCTCAACTCGACAGCATTGACTGTGCACATGACAGATGCGCTGGAATCACTCACTGGTTCATGCAAACGAAATCCCGTAATACCAGTGCTGTTGCCACAATCTATCGAACTCTATATTGCCTGGTTGTCTATATTGAAAGCAGGCGCTGCAGTGTGCCCTCTTAACCTGGATGCACCTCCTGAGCGAATCAAGTATATCGCGAATGATGTTGGTGCAGACATCATCGTTACCACACGGTCATTAGCTAGCAGGCTGAAGCATCTCGACAATCATATCCAAACTATCATAACGGAAGATGTTGATATAAACGCCAAAAATATTGACAGGTTCCAAGCTCCTCAAATAGATGCGGATGACATCGCGTATGTGGAATACACATCTGGCTCTACAGGTCTTCCCAAAGGGGTTGCTGTTTCGCATCGTGCTGCCACTCAATCATTGCTTGCTCATGACAAATGGATCCCGCCTTTCAAGAGATTCTTGCAATTTGCCTCGCCAACTTTTGACGTGTCCATTTTTGAGATCATTTTCCCACTGTTTCGTGGCGTTACTCTTGTCGGATGTGACCGCAATTTAATGCTAGGAGATCTTCCGCGAATTATAACAGAACTGGATGTGGATGGAGCCGAGCTCACCCCAACTGTGGCAGGGGAATTGCTCCAGAGAAGATCTGCAGCCCCATGTTTAAAGGTGCTGCTAACGATTGGGGAGATGCTAACAAGGAAAGTGGTTGACGAATTCGGATCCTCACCCAATAAGGATGGCATCCTTTATGCAATGTATGGCCCAACAGAAGCAGCAATTCATTGTACCCTTGCACCAAATATTTCAGCAGAATCTCGTGTTGGGAATATTGGTGTTCCCCTCCAGACAGTGTCCACTTTTATTGTATCCCCACAATTTCCTGATTCCAATCCTAGTGATGAACCTGAAATTCTTCCGATTGGCCATATTGGAGAGCTTGCGATCGGTGGTCCGCAACTTGCAGAATGTTACATAAACCGCGAAGAGGAAACTAAGAAAGCCTTCTTGGTTACTGGAAGGTACGGAAGGATATATCGCACTGGTGACATGGTCCGGCTGCATCCATCCGGAGAAATGGAATGTTTAGGAAGAATATCGACCGGCCAAGTAAAACTTAGGGGCCAACGCGTTGAGCTTGGCGAAATCGAACGGATCATTTACAAAGTTCCTGGTATTCGAAGTGTAGTGGTGAACGTACTGGAAAACACTTTGGTTGCTTTTGTATCTGTGGATGAAACTTTTCCGGGAATAACAAATATAATTCAGGTGTGCCGCAAATGGCTGCCAAATTTATGATCCCTGGAGATGTCGAGCTCCTGGATAACCTCCCCAGACTTCCATCGGGGAAAATCGATAATGCAGCTCTGGAACGCGACTATTCTGAGCGGAGAAACTTGCAACGCACAGATACCACGGGGTTCGATGATCAAATGCAGAGGAAAATAGCCTCATGTGTTGAAGATGTTTTAAACTTAAGCGTTGGAAAATCGACTAGCCTAACTCAAGCCGGTCTCGACTCTCTTAAAGCAATTAAACTGGCATCCGTTTTGCGAAATGCCGGTATAAACATTGACGTGTTGGGAATTCTAGAAGCGGACTCCATCCCGGGAATTGCGGCCCGCTCCCACGAATCCAACACTGATGCTCTGACGATAACGGGGAAATTCGAGTCTGACAACTGGAAATGCGTCGTGAATGCGACATTCGATGCCCCCAAATTAAATGGGTACTTAACAGATGTTGTGGACGTCGTTCCTTGCAGCCCTGTGCAAATGGCCATGCTCTCGGAAACTATGCGTGATCCGAAAGCATATTTGAATTGGATAGAATTACAATTTCATGAAAGTATCCGAATAAATGATGTTAAGCACGCTTTCTACGAGATCGGATTGAAAAACGAGATACTTCGGTCTAGTTTTATTCCAACCGATTACCCTAACCATTCTCATGTTCAAGTGATCTGGAACAAATTGGGCGGGGATAAGGTCCAGGAAGTGTCAGAATTGAAACACGACTCATCCAGCCATGAATATCCTTTACTGAATCCATTTTATGTTGAACTTACAGAGATAGATGACCGAATTCATGCACTGGTTCACATCCATCATGCCGTGTAAGAGTGGGTGGTCATGGGATCAAATTCTCAGCGATGTTGAGCATTTTTTTTTATTCCAGGAACGTTAATTTCGCGGGCCCGCATATCCGGT